TCAGGAAGCACAAGTGATTTATAAAACCTGGTCAAGAACATTAGCTGATTACATCTGATGATCACATCCAGTGGAATGACAAATCTGTAACATTACTTTATCCCTAACAAACTTATCTGGCTTTGATTACTCTTTAGTCTTTTAATTCTTAATGTTACATCTTTTGTTGATCTTCTTGTTTTTGTCTCTGATATAATCTTAAATAAAAGAGGTTATATGACCAATATATGAAGGTTGTACGAAGAAAAACAACTGACTAACTGACTGTGTAGCATTTATTCTATCTATTGGCTGAAATGGAATAGTATATGAATACGTATGTTTTCTTTAGTTTGTAATCACCTGAATCACCTGTGTTTTAGTGAACTTTGACTGAGCCGTTTGTATCTACATACAGAGCAGGTTCTCTTCTTAGAGCCAGCCGCCATGTTTCTACAGTAGCCCAGAATGGACAAACTAAACACTGTCTCTAGATAGGCCCATTCTTGTTTTCGCATCTGCCACCGTAGTTCTCCTACCCTCCTGGCACACGGAGAGGTTTCAGTTGGATGGGATCTACATCCTTACCACTAGATGGCGCCACATTGCACACACTTGACCGTTAAATCTGATAAACACTTCAGCATTGCGGGAGTTGCAGTTAATTTCTCTCTCTCTCTCTCTCTCTCTCTCTCTCTCTCTCTCTCTCTCTCTCTCCCCCTCTTTCTCTCTCTCCCCTCTCTCCTCTCTAGAATAGTCATTAGCATTTTCTACATTTTTACTGTTCGAAATTAATTTCACAATGAAGTCTTGGTTTACTGTGTCCTAAATCTACTTTTGAATGGATTAAGTTGTAGTTTTTGCCAAGTTTCCTCTGCTGCCAATGGGAATTTACAGTGAGTGCTGCCATACTTATTATTAAACGCTACTGTATAATTACTGACTGTAGGAACTTTCCATTGAGAGAGCACAATGAGTGTGTATTTTAACTTACAGGCACAGTTTCAACCCCCCAAACAACAAATGCTCTGCTGTTCTGTTGCCCACGCTGACCTTTAAGGGAGGGGGGGGTTGTTAAAGGTAACAAAATCCGACGATGACCCCCTCCGAATTTAACTTATCAAGGAGTAATTTCTGTATTTTTCAATCTGGACACATTTGTCCATGTTTATTGTGTCCAGATGAGATTAAAAAAGTGGTCCAGTATTGAGGGAGAATGCAGCAGGCGGCCTTCGCTAATTGGGTTGCAATGTAATCATATCGAGCAATTTCACACCATCAATGTACGCCCACTAAAAGTGCTTGTTTTTGCCACTTATAGGCTTGTTATTATAAGTGTCGAACAACATTGTGGAAAGGACCCTACAGAACTGAAAAAAAGTTGTTCTTACCTTTCACTTGATCCAGTGGGTTTGTTCTTGTATCTAAATCTCACTCAAGAAGAAGTCTCATTCTGAAATCTTGTGTTGTTGTCAAACTCAGCTAATTATTCTGCCGTGATATTGAAATCTTTTACATAACACTGAGCTACGCCTTCTGTACTCCGACGCAACAAACTCTCTCCAACTCTCACTAACTGTTCCATCGTTGTCTTCTGGATACAAGTCACATGACACACTAACGAACAGAAAGCAAAAGAAAAAGAAAAACGTTTGTATTTCTCTGTAGGGTTCCATAGTGTTGTCAGACACTCATAACAACAATCAGAGCCTGTCAGTGGCAAAAACAAGCACTTTTACTGGAATCACGTTGAAGGTGAGGAGCTGCCCCGAGCGATTACATTTCAGCCCGTTCAGTGTAACAACGTTATCCCTCATTACTGGACCAATTTCAAAAATCACAATAACACAATTAGCTCCAGGTAATCACTGTGACATGATGTATTCAATGCTTGTAGGTGGATTGTGTTATCTTCAGACTGTGTAATGTACCACAGTGTGGGCCTCTCATGTTACCCCCACGCTCGCTAGCTCCACAGTTTACGTTTACAACCCTACCCACGTTATTTCTTTTCCTGCCTGCACATGTAAATGTAGCTCTATTCCTTTAAAGCACCCCAAGGTCATGTGTAGTTTATGTTTACTTTTATAGAAGTGACTGTGACAATTTCCTTCTCCATTTCTCAAGCACTTTTTCCAACCTTTAGGTATGTCAGTCCTAAAACCCCGAACCAACAATACCCCCCTCCTAACTTCACCTTGCTGCTTCAGTTCTGCCGTATGTCACAGCCTTTTCACTCCCATGACGTCCCCTCATGCCCACCTCAATCTACCTAATTCACTTATTTCTAATTTGAGTTATGTAGCTCGCAAGTAACTTCTAAAGTGAAAAGGTTTCGAGAACCTGGTGAAAGTTGCAGGCTATTTTCACTGTGAAATATCCATTCCAGCCTTAATAAAGCAAAAGACCGTAGCGATCTTGAACAGTTTTGCATTTAGCGAAATGTTTTCTTTCAAAAAAAGTCGTCTCTGTCACTTTTACTTTTGCTGGAAAATTAAAACTTATTTGGGGAAAGACAAAATATCTCGGCAGCATACCTTTGCAGCACGTTGGTATAGAAACAGAAGGAGAAGAAAGGATGCTCTGTGATGCAGCACTTTTGTGTGAGATCCCTGCCCCTCTCTGGCAGAAGAAGCTCATTGCAGTGTAACCTGAAGTGAGAGGAGGCGCCTCACACCGGCTGCTGACAGCGGCTAGCTGAGCATGAGCATACAGAGAGGTATTTCCCCAAGGAGAGTGAGGAGGGCTCAGATATGTACAGCAGTAACTACATGTGGGGACGTTTATATGTATTTGTTGATTTGATGCCAGTTTATCACGCAGAATGAATGTAACGCCGGGCTTTGAGGACTTTCTGTTTCTACACAGACTGTCATATTCAAGCCTAATTCTTTCCCCTCTCTCTCTATGCATGTACAGATTTCCTGATCACACCATTGTGTTGTTTCGTGATGCAATGGCTTTAAATTAACGCTGTGGGCTTCTGCATTCTTTGTTTGTATTGTAACTGGAGAGTCTGCTTTGCCATCTGCTCACTTCCAATCATCATTGACGAGTCTCCTGAGGCATCAGCGAGAGGCAGACAAGTTGACCTAATCATTCTTGATTCCAAGTTGTTTGCTCCGAGTGGGTTTCCCAGGGAAAGGTCTCTCCAGAGGGTTTATATTGCACTTCTGAGATCAATTGCAGGGATCCAATTAATTGCATGAGCTCAATTTGTAAAACTATTTGAGGCTGATGTGGTATAAAGTCAGCACACCCTTTGTCAGCCATCCTGCTTCCCACCTTGCTTGTTCTCCATCTCTGATCTATTTCTTTATTCAAACACACACACACACACACACACACACACACACACACACACACACACACACTAGAGCTTGTGCATATTGATCTTTTACAACTGCCCTTCAATGATAGACCAAAGAGTGGCATGCTGCAATCAGCTGTGTGAGCAGCATCGCAAATGAGATTGGGGGGGAGTGTGAGAGAGAGAGAGAGAGGGAGAGAGAGAGAGAGCGAGAGAGAGAGAGAGAGAGAGAGAGAGAGAGAGAGATGAAAAGGGGGAGATGGTGTGCATTGGAAGAGGAGGAGGAGGAGGAGGAGGAGGGGTGTAGTGCTGCAGTGGAGAGAAGTGAGAGGAGACTGCAGTCGCTGCTTATGGGAGAGATCAGACTATGTTACCACAGCTCTGAGGGACTGTAGCTAGCTGTAGTCATTGATATTGGATGGGCCACCTCACGAAAGGGAATACCACATCTGACTGGTGAGTTTTGTTTTGGAGATCTTTTTTATTTTTTATTAAGGGGCAGCTATGTGACGTGAATGCAATCGAAACGTATACAACAAGACGATGTCTCAGAGGATCTTCTCTGTATTTTCAAACTAAGTGAGTTATGATAAACTATTACGGCACACTGTGCCTGTGTTCTCTGTACATTAATACATTTGTGTGATTCAGGATGTGTCAGAGCCTTTTTTACGTGTGTGTGTGTGTTCGTGTGTGTGTGGCTGAGTGATGCTGGCTAGTGGTGAGCTGCAGAAATCAAAGTCAGATAAGGACTGAGTGCTGTTGGCACAGAGGTAAACACAATGCTAAAACAAGAAGGGGGGCTATGGATGTGTTTTTGGTGTATTTTGCGTTAAACCAGTATCCTTATCAGTGGTACATTGAGTGCAACTTATGAAAGTTAGAGGGTTGAGTTGATTCGGATCAGGAATAACTGCGGACATGTTTTGTTAGAGGTGATCAGAGGCGATGATTTCTTGTACTGATATTAAGTGACCGTTACATTTTTTTGGAGGGACCTCTGTTGCGGCTAAAACTTTCATCATATTAATCAAAAATCACAGCAGAGCAGTCGGCACTCACATGATGCAGAGCAGTGACCCGATGCTTGCCTTGAGCCAATTGGTCATTTGATTGGCCGGTCAGCTCGGCTATAGGCAGGGTGTGGGGAATTCTGGATAGCTGACAGACACTACCAGGATTGCTATAGCAACAATAATCTGCCGGTCCGGAACACGCAGGCCTCTACTCTACTGTTTGTGAGCAGCTCAGATTTGACCACAAATCCTCCTTCATGACGAGTCCACGCTGAAATACACATGTTGGAATGCAATAGTTATTGATCTGTTGTTGCCTGTAAGTCAGATAAGATGAGGTTACATCATGATTGTGTTTGCCAGACGTTGACATAGAAGCCTCCTGGTTCACTTTCATGTTGTGATACGGAAATCCTCACATGCACTGTGAACATATTTAGATAGAAATATCTCTCCAGCAAAAGACTCACTGTATATCCCTCGAAGATGTGAGTGTGTGTGTGTGCGTGTGTGTGTGTGTGTTTGTGTGAAACCCTGCACTCAGTTGTTTTAAACTGAGAAGGATAATTTTGCTCTGAATAGCAATGCACATATAAATTGTGATGACACACACACACACACACACACACACACACACACACACACACACACA